TGCGGCTTTCACCCAAAAGCAGAGGATGGGGAGCAGCTCCCGGCTGCATGAGCTGGCACCTTGTGCCAGGGAGGGATGGCACGTACCCCTGGCTACAGCCATGCCATGTAATCACTACCTCCAGCTACCCTGGCTTGCATGGCAGCTACACCAAGCCTTGCCAACAGCCTGGCTGGCACAGAGGTGGAGGGTCTCCAGGAGACCGCTTTCACCCAAAAGCAGAGGATGGGGAGCAGCTCCCGGCTGCATGAGCTGGCACCTTGTGCCAGGGAGGGATGGCACGTACCCCTGGCTACAGCCATGCCATGTAATCACTACCTCCAGCTACCCTGGCTTGCATGGCAGCTACACCAAGCCTTGCCAACAGCCTGGCTGGCACAGAGGTGGAGGGTCTCCAGGAGACCGCCCACTGCGGAAGGAGGTGGCTGTCAGGTCAGTCATCTGGGCGCAGGTGATCCTCACCGCTTCTCCAGCTTCGGCAGCTGAGAGCCGGCTCAGCATCCCCACGGGATGTGCTAACAAGGGGCATCACCCCCTCCAGCCCTCCCAGCCCCCCCAGGTCCTTCTCTCCAGCAACATGCGGCACACGGCACCGCCGCTTCCTCCGCAAGCAACGTGGCTCATGGCCGGGACACGCAGGGGCCACCGCGGCTCAGAGAGCCAACACTGCGAGGATGGACTGTGCCCCCAGGAAGAGATCCCGCTGGGTTTGGGGGAGCCCAGTGGGCAGGAGAGTGAGCAGCCCCCAGGGCACAGGGACGAACATGGCTCTGATGGCAAAGAGGGGACACCGAAGCACGGGAGAGGAGCGGACAGGAGGCAGGCAGGGAGGAGGTGCTGATCTACAACCCCAACATCTTGGAGTCTCAGAGGGGAGCCAAGGGGCTGGTGGACCTCATTCCCTCCTCCACAAATCCCACTGTGGGCATCGCTTTGGGCGCCTGTCTCGCCTCTGCCCACGTGAGAGCAACACTGCGCTGCTGGGGCCCCAAATTACAGAAAGAAAGATTTATGCCGCTGCTTGAGTGAGCTGTTTCCATCAGAATAAAACAAATAGTGGTAAGTTCGAGGCATCCAAATAGAAAGGAACATCAAGGAACTTTTCCCAAAGCTACATCTGGAGCCAAACTAAACCACGTTTCCAGGTAAGAAACAGCATCCTCAGGCAGCCGAACTGGGAAGATCACAACTTGCACTTCTGGGAGGCACAAAGCAAGTACAGTCGTTAGACTTGAAAGAAGGACCTAAAAATTCATCGCTACCTCTGCCCGGTTGCCCAGGAAGCACATGTCCAAGATTTTGCCATGACATAGGGACCAGGGAAAAAAAATCATCTACCTGGGAGGGTAAAAAAATCCAAACCAGGAGAATAGAGCACCCTGGCTGGTGGTCCTGCCGGGGATGGTGGGGCACCCAGCTCCCACCTTGCCATGAGCTGCACCACCTCTTCGAAGGGCAATCATCGGGCTGGCAGCAGTGTGAGAGATGCAGCCGCATCCCTCCTGCAACGGGGCTTGGTCGTGCAACGGGGCGTTGGGCACAGAGATGTCATCGGAGATTTAACGGTGATGTCAGCACCTGCTCCCCAGGGACGGGCATGGGCAGGGGAGACCCTGGGGGGCTGCCCGTGCCAAGGGGCACCACCTCTTCGAAGGGCAATCATCGGGCTGGCAGCAGTGTGAGAGATGCAGCCGCATCCCTCCTGCAACGGGGCTTGGTCGTGCAACGGGGCGTTGGGCACAGGGATGTCATCGGAGATTTAACGGTGAGGTCAGCACCTGCTCCCCAGGGACGGGCATGGGCAGGGGAGACCCTGGGGGGCTGCCCGTGCCAAGGGGCAGTGCTCAGCCAGCCTGAACATCAGCTCCTGCCTACAAGGTACCACTCTTTTCTCCTTCTCCCTCCCCGTGCACCTGAGCTGGGGGAACCGGGACCGCGCAGAGTGACTGAGGGGACCGGGGTCCCTGCACGGATGCTCCCGGAGAGGGGCTCCCCCAGGCCTGGTTCCCCTGGCCTTGCTCACCTTTCGTGGTCTCGCTCTCCCGGACCAGGAAGGTCCCTCGGGGGTTTTCAGGGTTGAGCAGCAGCCGCTCGGACTCCCGGCGAGTGATCTTCCCAAAATACCACCTGCAAGAGCAAGGCAGCAGCTCAGTGCCCGGCACTCGCCCACCCCCTCCATTGCCTGTCCAAGCAGCGGGCTCAGCCTCAGCCCCCTCACCGCAGATTTCGGAGATCACAGGCTACATCTCCAGGCTTGGGCACCCCAGGGTGCACCATGCCCCCGTGCAGCCCAGGCTGGGTATCGCCCAAGGAGCAACCCTGCACCACAGACTGCGAAACACCTTCACTCCAAAAGCCTCCCTGAACAAGGGGCTCTGAGGACCTCTGAAGCCCCCTGAGCTCTTGCTGGGGGGTGAAACATCATGCCGCTGTCTGGGGATGGGCTGCAGGGACGTAGCTGGTACCTCCTGCTTTGCCCCTGCCTGCTTCCCTGGTGTGAGTCGCCCCTGCGCTCAGCCTGATCCGCACCAGCAGAGCCGGCAGCATCCTCCCGCACGGATGTGTGTCCATGCGGAAGAGTAAAAACCAGACTGAAAGCATTGGGTCCACCACGGTTCCTGCTAAACCACCACTCCTCCCTCCACTGCGCGAGCACGCTGCACCTCCGCACTTTATGGGCCTTAAAGAAAGGCTGGAAAACGTTTGAGGGGTTTGCAAACTCAAAGGGGAAAATTACAAAAAGGAAAAACCCGGAGGCCTTGCAGGCTTTGCCCAGGAGAGGGGCAGGGGGAGGGAGGAGGGCTCAGGGCGCGTTCGCTATCGCTCGTCTTTAAACTGTCTCAAAGATGGCAATTACTCTTCAGCCTGGATGGAGTCTGAGGGCGCGACATAGTTACTGGGGATGTAGCCCGTCTGTCCTGTAGTGAGGGAATGAGCCAGCCACCAGTCACCTTCCCTGCAAGAGAACCAAAACACACTCAGTGTAGAGCCAGGAGCACCCCCCCGCCAGCCTCTCTCCTCCCGCAGGCGCCGGGGCTGGGGGGGGCCAGCACGGAGCCCCGCCGGGAAGGGGTGCAGCCCCCCAGCCCCCAGCAGGATCCCGGCCAGGAGGGCTCCTGCTGCCAGCCCCTGCCCGTGGCTCCCTTTGGTCAAGCTCTCGGTACTGGGGCCACCCATCTGCATACAGGATGCTTTAAACTTAAGTCGGGCAGGGCAGCCAGCGAGCCAAAATACCTGAATTCAGAGCCACCTGAATGCGAACGGGGTCTGGGCTGGAGAACGAGGGGCAGGGGGGACCCAAGGCAGCGGGGAGTGACAGGCCAGGGGGAGGGAGGGGAAATGGGGAAAAGTGACAGAATGATGGCAGCGATTAAAAAAAGCACCAGGAAAACCCAAGAGACAGCGTTTGTTAAACACAGGCTGCAGAAAAGCAACAGGACAAGGCTGAGATTTGGGTAGGGGGTTGCTCCCTGCGGGAGCCCCTGCACTGTCCCCAAAACCCCAGCGCTGACTCACCGTCCCTCCTGCCCTGGGCACGGTGGCCCCAGGCATGTCCCCAGGAGCTGGCAGGGCGCAGGAGCCTTCTCACTGCTCTGCCCTCTGCCCGCAGGCTCCTGCACGGGACGGGGCAGGAAAGGACAATAAATAGAGAAGAATAACAGGACAGCAGGAGGTGGCTTCCCCTTCCCCACAGACAGCGGGGCTTCCTCCCACCACCTGCATCTTCTCGCCCATCAAAGACGGAGTCACCTAATTTATCCTGACCACGAGGGAGACGAGGCTACAGGAAAACTGCAGATCCGTGGGAACAGCACTACGAGGATGCAAGAACTTGGCCAGATGACTTCCACAAATGCTTTTCAGAAAAACCTTAATAACCTCAATCACCACTAAAAGATCCGTCAGACTACATCCAGACCCAGCCCTGGCCCCTCAGACGTATAAACCACCATCCTCACTCCAACCACACCAGCAGCTTGTGACTTTTGCTTGTCCCAGCTAATCCAGCGATGGTTTGAAGTGGCCAGGAGAAGCTGGACCACAGCCCCCAGCTCCCCATGCTGGTGCCAGCAGGGCCAGAGAAAGCAGAGACCCTCAGAGCATCTTCTCCCAACCACACAGCCAGGCTCTGCTGCCCCCCCGGAGCCCATCCCCAGCCTCGCAGCAGCCCCGGCTGGTATTTTAACTTCTCCCAGTGCTGGCACATCTCATGGCAGGTAGCTTGGGGTCCCCAGCCAGAGCTGCTGCCCCAGTCACCTTTTACTGGGATGGCTCCGAAGGGGACAGGAGGCTGGTTGGGCTCCTTTCCCACAGGACCGGAGAAAACATCTGCTTGAGAAATGCCCAGCTTTTGACTTGTGGCTTTATTCCAGCTCAGGCTGCAAGGCTGCAAGCTGGGAATTCAGCAAAAACAAACTATTCCAAAAATGTCTCAGCAGGGAAAAAAATAATAATAATCATCATCATCAAAACAAAGCATTTCAACAACTCCCTGCACAATCTTACTCAAAATACCCCACCACATCCATGCTGGCTGTCAGCCGGCTGGGAAGAGACCTCCTCCTGCTGGAAATGGTACCATGAGAGGCCTTCTGCACTGGGGTGGAGGGATTTGGTTTCTCC